GCGCTGTGTCGGTACACGCTCTTAGCCACCCAGGTCAGCGAGAACACGGATTTAAATGTATGAAAAGAAGACAAAGGCAAACATAAATAAAATTTGATAGGAGGCAAAACGTCAAAAATAAAATAAATACTGTAAAGCCAAGTGCGGATTTAAGGGGGGAAGAAAGGAGGGGAAATTTCCCCTTTAACTTTTTCAGTAACTTTTAAGTTTAACTTGTCACGAAACTTTCAAGCAAAAATATTTTCGGATTAACATTAAAACGAATAAAATTGTATCACAGCATGGGCTGAGTGTAGCCTGCAACGTTTTACAAAATCTGTAATATATACATATTTGACGAAAAATGTTGAATTCCCTCCCAAAATTCGTCTCTGGATTCGCCCCTGGCAGACGACGAGTGATTATGCGGTAAGTGAAGGTAAAGAGACGTCAAACAAGAAAAAGGAAGCAACCCGGCGAGGAAGACGTAGAGGCACGGGCTAGCGGAAGTTGTGTTCGGGCGGCTGCCAGCTTAGGGGCGAGGGGTGAATGCCGAAGGGCACGGGGTACGGGGCGTGGGGCATGGGCCCGGGGAGTGGGGCGCAGGGCGCGGAGAGCGAGGCGCGGGGAGAGCAGTTGGCGGCGGGCGGTTGACGCGGGGCGCGTGGCGAGGGCGTGGGGCGAGAGGCGAAGGGCGGGGAGCGTGGGCGGTGGGGCTCGTGGCGCGGGGCATGGGGCGTGGGGCGCGGGGCGGTGTGAGCGAGGCGCGGGGCGCGTGGCGGGGTGCGCTGGGTGCGGGGAGCGGCTGCACTAATGACTCGCGACTAATGGCCGCCGCGCGGGCCGCCTCGCGCGGGCCGCGTTTGCGCAGGTAAACGAGCCGCTGGCGGCGCCGCGCGCCGATCGCTCCCCGGGATGAGGGATGGGCGGTTTCCATTAGGAGCCTCTCTCTCCCTCCCCCTCCCCGCCTCCGCGGCCGTGGGGCTGAGCGCTCGCTCGCTCGTTCGCTCGCTTTCCGGCCGCCAGGAGAGCTCGCGGCGCGCCCGAACGCGCGCGCGCGCGGCGGCACGGGGCAAAGGAGATGGCTCGCGCGCCGACTCGCGCGCGCTAATTTCCGCTTTTGCGTGTGCAAGTGCGTGCTGTTTGCCGACGAGCGTATTCCGGAATAATCGCCGATCCGTCGGGAGATGTGTAGTTGGCGTGAAGTGGAATGTTGGTACATTGAGGACATTGAAGTTTTACGAGAACTGAATTGAATTTCGTGAACAATACTTGCTTGTTAGACCACAAAATGCCAAGAATTGTACTAATTTGAAAGAATGAAGGAAAGGAAGGAAGGAAGGAAGAAAGAAAGAAATACTTTGTTTCATAAGCAATCACCAATTTCTGAGGAATCATAAAAAAATATTTCTCAAGGTTTATCGTCCATGCAAAATCTTAAAAAAGGTAAACTTAGACAATTTAATTTTAAATACAAAAACTGTAAAACAGTTTCTATTTTGTCTTAAAAAAATGCATGTACTTGATTATGCAATTCCGCATATTCTCAAACTATTGATGGCAATTGAATCCAAATCCGTACTCTGTGTGCCACTGCGCATGGCCTTGGTGAATTAGCCGTTAGCTTACTGCCCTGTGTACTACTAGGGTACGGTTCCTATCCCGGCTGGCGTGCGTGTCTGTTTTGAAGGGCGGAAAATCCCATAGTACCCATGTCATGCTTCAAGCGCGTAAAACAACCGTGGCAGGTGCCCGGCAAAATTAAATCCCTTTGGAAATGTCTCGCCCTAATGAGATCCCACATTTTCCCACAAGTTCCTCGTTAACCCTAGGATGCGTATGCAAAACCCCCTACGCCCAAACTTTTTATTTTGCGTTTTACTCTGCACATCTTCATTTCTGAGACCCACTCCGTGTAATCTTGGTTATATATTTCTACTTTCATTTTAGTCACTGGCAAAAAGGAAAAATTTATCAGAAGATATGTAAGTAGGACCTGAAATTTGAATCTTTTACATCAATGCATTTTCAGGGCTTTTGTTTAACTTTAAGTGTTTACGATTATCAAAATTGCTAAAAAATGAAGTTTTAAGAAAAAAAAATGTTCATTTTTAAAGATTTTATTACGCAGGGTCACAGAAGTCCTGCTTCTGCTTTCGTATAGTTTTCCGGTTCCAGGTATTATAGGTTTACGAAAGAAGATGAAAACGTTTTCTTTATTGCTGAGACCTTCTCTTACTCACAGGGTTGTAGTACTCGTTTATTTCATCTGCCTCATTCTCATTCTCATTCTCATTCTCATCCTCATTCTCTATGTTACGGTGCAGGTGCGGATAAAAACACCTGTCCTTGTTTTAGGTCGCGTTTTGTCACTTTCTCTGCAGCTTTATGTCTTCGGGCCCGGCCTGATCCCATTCTCTTCCATATCTCTCCACGGGCTGTATTTCACGAGCGGCGGACCGCGGCGTTTGTCGTCCTTTAGTTCGCATCCCGAGGGCGCCATTTGCAGGTTCGCCAATTCTCCTCGCGGCCATTTCACCCGCGCCCCCGCCCGCGCCACGGTTCAAACGCCGCCGCCGCCGCCTGCTCCCATCTCTTCCATTTCGCACGGAGCCTCGCTGGTCGCTGCTCTATCTGGGCGGGCTTCTGCACCCAACGCCGTCTGGCGCAGCCGCCCCCACCGCCCCCGCCGCCCCGCGCTGCTCCGTCGCAGCTGTCGCGCGGCTGCTGTTTTGCGCTCCCCGCCCCGCCCATCGGCGCCCCCACCCCCCGCGCCGTGTCGCCTGCTGGGCGCAGGCGGCGGCGGCGGCAGTCTCGAACCTCCGCAGTGCGCCTTTGCCGGGAATCGAACGGGGACCTTCCGCGCTTGCGCTCTCCGTGGCTGCATTTTCTTGCACGACCCTTATTTATTTTTTAGTGTCACCCCTATTATTCTTTAGTATCGTTGGGTTCATGTGGCGCCTTGCGGCAAAATGGCACATACAAACTTAATAATTTCATGTACGCGAAAAAACTCTAGTTAACTGTCTTCTCTTGATGGTTTTTTGCATTTTATAATGGGCATTGTATCCGTTTCCACTTACATCGTACTCAAGATTTGCATTTCGTAATGAAAGAGAAATCGTACGAATGCAACCAATGAGACCAATTAGAATCAAAATTAATATCAGAAAATGAAAATTTATAATCAGAAAAGGCATTTGTTTATTTATTTTTATTCTCAAATGAGGTATCACAGTGGCTTAAAAAGTACGAAATGGAACATTAAATTAGAAATGATCCACCAGGAACGTGATGAACAGAAATGTGACATCAGTTTTCATCAATTCTGAAACAAATATTTAAAACATATACTATTGGCTCTATAGAACGTTAGTAACACAGGACGCCTAGATTATGATGATACAAACATTGTACCCAAAATAATACAGAGCCCTATGTTACGAAATTCGTACCAAAAAAAACAATCCTTCGGAACCATGACCATCGACAGCGCAACTACCGACAGCTCGTGGAAGATCCCTTCCCTCCCCTTTGGGCTTATGCTGGGGAGGTGGCGCGCACGCCCGCGATTGCAAGGGCAGGTGGAGGCAGCGGGGCCCGTCTCATGCAGAGCGACTCCCCTCCTTCCCCTCCCCGCCGCCTACGCTTCTTCCTCCTCGGGGGCGGGTGCTCGTGGGGACTCCAGACGGCGCTTCTGCGACAGACAGACGCAAACCCCGCCCCCCCCCCCCCCCCCCCGCCACCCGCTGCCCTGCACGATACGCCCCCGGACCGCGCCGCGCCTCCCTGCCGCCCGCTGCGGCCCGCCCCCCCACCCCCCCCCACGCCCCTCCGCCTCCGCCACGCCCCGCTCCCGGAAAGTCGCCTTATCGATAAAGCGGCAACACGGCCAGCGGGCAGCCCACAAAGCCGTATTCATGAGTATCTTGCTTCTTGAAATGCCACTTCCACCTACTAGCGTTTATCTACCAAAACGGTATGGGTTTATAAGCCGCATTTAATACTCGTAAATGTATGAAATAAATGATTTACGATGTGTATCTCATTGACTTCTGATATTGACTGACTGCACAAATCGTATATTGACTCTAATGCAATAAAATCATGTTCATATTCCAGATCATTGAATTGCATTGATTATTTTTATTATAAAATATGTTTTTAAAATTTCGATCAGTTTATTTGGTTTTTACATATGATTTTTTTTTATTTGTTCCATTTAAAATGTTAAAAAGTAGTGATATTATGAGTATCAGTTGCAAAGCAATACTGTAAGAATTATTTCATATATTTGAAACATAAAATGCATATGACATTTCTGAGACTACAAATTTATTTTCGAAGTAAGGCAAGATGTTTTTTAAGACACGTAAATTTCATTGAGGCTATTTTAAATCCTAAACTTTGATATTAACCATTCATGTAGTTCATTAAATAATTTTAGTTTCTAAAATAATCGGTCCGAACAAAGCTGCAAAAGATCGCGCTTATTAGGATTAAAACAATACTATTTAATATTAAGATATACTTCATATTTGGAAAAGAGATTTGATGCATTATTCTATTTCAGTGTCCTTAGATGTAATTAAAAATGCTTATTTCATACTGCATATTAAGTTGAAATCATCATACAGGACGTTTTGTTTAATTTTTGTTCCTCAGTACACGAATATCCAAATATGTTTACCGGAACAGCGTTGACCATAGAGCGTTGAGCGCATGCAATGTACAGAAGCACGTTGAAGACAAGGGCTCAAGGGAGCCGTCGCAGCGGCACACAAACCACCCTGCCACGAAACAGCGCGCTCACTCGGCCTCGCGGCCCTCCCCGCGGAGGCGATTCCATCCAGGGCAGGCGGGCAGCGGCCGCTGCCACGGAGAGCGCCGGCGGCTGCGGTGGAGGCGGCGGCGGAGGCGAGCGGCGGGCAGGCGGACGGGCGGGCGCGGCGCCGCGGCCACGGTGGCGAGAGCCCCGCGGCGCAACTCCCTCCGCAGCCGCGCGCGTGTGTGTGTTGCAGATGCGGACTTCTGCTGCGGGATGCGCTCGCCGGCCGAGCCGCGAGTGGGGCCGCCTCGCCAGCAGTCCAGCGGTCCGTCTCTCACTCTCACTCTTTCTCTCTTTCTCTCTTCCTCTTTCTCTCTTACGTGCCCTTCTTTATATCTCACTGTCTTTCCAACGCGTGCGTTTAGCCTTGCCATTCCTTTCTATACGATCTACGTCTATCCAACTTTTCTAGATATATCTATCTATCTATCTCTGGCTCTTTTTTCTCTCTCTCTCCTGCTGCTACTCTTGACCACTACCACTTCTACTATTTCTACTACTTGATATTCTTGTTTCAGTCTTGTTTGTCGGTGTTTATACATCTAGATGTGAGTGTGTGTTGGTGTTGTTGATGTTGATGTTTCCAGTCGAGGGGTGGCTACTCAGCAACGCGCCGCGACCCCGGTCACGAAATGTCACGCAGCGCGCCCCGCCTGCCCCTTTCCCCGCCCCCTAATGCCGGCGCCGCCGTCGGCGGCTTCGAACCGAGGCCTTCGGCGCCCGCTCGGTCGCGCCGCCGCACGCCCTTCCGCTCGCCCTCGCGCCCTCGCGCCCGCCGCGCGATCGTTAGGGGAATCGATGGAACAGTTGGTGCTCTCGTGCCTTTCCTAACCCTCGCCCCTCTAACGTCGCCGTGTTTCTTTAAACAAAGGCCTAATTTCCTTTTAAACCCTATTAGTATCTTTTCCCAGAATTACAACCTTTAATCATACCACAAGCTGAAAGGACTGGAATTTCTCTCTAAAAAACTAACTGAATGTTTGGTTTGGAAAAAATACTTTCAGATAGGTATTGATATTAATGAAGATAGTGTGACAGATTGATGTCAATGCTTTATCATTCACAAAATTCCCAGTATTTAGGTCTAGTGACTTCGGTGTCGCGATAAAGTTTTGTTTGGGAATCGTTTTATTACAATTTGAAGAAAATTACGTAATGGAAACATATCAAGGTCATCTGTAAATATTAGCCACAAGATGGTGTAGAGTGGAACAGAAAAGCGAAAGACGATAAGATTCTTTATCATTACTCGCAGCACAAAGGTTGTCGCCGGGTTGTCATCTGCGCAGGCGCGTCTTCCGGTTGTTTATTCGCTTCGCGTGCGACTTTATCAAATATCACATTCTATGGAACCCCGAAACTCGATTTCTCAAGTCGTCCGTCGCGATTTGGAAGCAGGTAGCAGCAGGGGCAACGTCACGTTTCGCATTGAACGCGGAGCCCAGCCCGGCTGCGAGCGACCGTTCCCCCTGGCACCCCTGCCACGAAAACGTCGGTTGTTCTCCTCCCCCAACCCCCTTGCCGTCCTTCCGCTCCGCGCTCTTCCCGTCGATCAGCGGTCAACGCACACGCCGTCTCCGCCTACCCCCCTTCGCCGTCCTCCGCCCGCCCCGCCCCCGCCCCGCCCCCCGCCTCCCCACACTGCCCTCCTCGCCCTGCCCTCCCCGCCCCGGCTCCTCGCCCCTCCCCCGCCACGCTCCTCCTCGTCCGCCCCACGCCCCGTTCCTCCTCGCCCCGCCCACCCCCCGTCTCTCTCTACCCCACCCGCCCCTCTCCCCACCCAACCGCTCCTTCCCCCCCACCGCCCTCTCCCGCGCCCTTCGCCTTTCCCACGCCCACCGCCCACGCCCCGCATCGCTGCGCGTACTGCGCAATTTGGAATGCTTTGGCGGTGCCCCGCGCGTGTCCCCCGCCCGCTTGATTGGATGCACGCGCACGACCTCAGCTCCGTTTTTCCTTTGTATGGGAAACCGTTTTGCGTGTTCGCTTGAGAGCGAAATAAAGATAATTATGGAAATGCGGATTTATTTTTTTTGTTGGAGAGCGGAGAAAGGTCACGGCAGCTGTATGCCGGATACTGTGCTCGCAAACTGTTTCTATTCTTTTTTGTGACGTTCTGCCTCGGATAAAACTAGAAAGAGTAGCTTGTTAGTCTGTGCATTTTCCATGAAGCCGTGCTTTTATCTTTTAAAAAAGGCGCTTGAAAATTTCATAATGTACCCTGCATTCTCTGTAATTGTAGAATACGTATAACATAGACGAATTATTTTATGATAAGGAAATTACCAAAAAAATGAGGCTATAATTCTATTACGCCATTATCAACGAAAAGGCGTGTGTGAGAAATTATTATTTTACTCAATGTTTACATATAATAAATTACATTCCCTAAATGAGTAAGTCCTGCACTTTCAAAATTTCGGTTTACTATTTTCTATAAAAGTAAAAGATCATTAAAATTTTGGAGAAATAAATACTTTAGAATTATAAACATTAAACTCACTCTCTAAATATGTGTAATATATCTACTTAAGAGCAAAGTTGCACCGATTTATTGTTATCCCGGCATCATTCCGTACATCTTTGTATTATTTGCGTAGCAGTTTGGTATTTGCTTTCCTTCAAATTCACAAGAACCTCACTCCATTCTTAGCGATCTCTTACTTCATTTTCCGTGGTACATTTTTAACATACTATTTTCACAGCAATTTCTTCATTTCTATCAGCATGATTTACCATTCTTAAAATATTTCAATTCCACATTTGATTCATTAAAAATACGTTGTCTACCTATTCCTCGTAATGTAGCGTTCTCATTTGCCGATCCTCTTCATTCTCAAGCTTGGCACAGTGTCTGCTCTGCACAGCGCGACACAGCCACCTCTCGTTCGCCAGAACGAGGATTCGAGGACCAGAGCCTTCATTCATCCCGGCGCAGTCACTCAAGGCGCCAGGAGCGGAGCGTCCGCATGCAAATCTTCTGCGAACCGCCGCGCTCCGCAGGCGCTAACCTGCTTATTCCGGTGCGGGCGGCATATTCATGACGAGGCACCTCCGCCGCCCCGCCCCGCCCTGCC